TTTTTTTTTTTTTTTTTTTTTTTTTTTTTTTTTTTTTTTTTCCATCTATGCAAAGAATGAAAAATGAGGCATGGGAAGTTATACACTTAATGAATGGGTTCCTAGCTGTGGTAATTGAGCTTTTCTCAAGGCAGACAAACCTAGGAGGTGTAAGAACTGTGAGCAGACAGAGGAATCCTGACTCAGAAAGCTATCTTGCCCCACAGCAGCTGAGTAAGTTCATCAAAAGGAAGGATTCACTGACAGAAGCACGGAAAAGATGCAAACGACCATGAGGGACATCACAAGGATTTAAACGTGTCCAAAGAGCTACTAATATCTGTTTGAAAATGTGTATTGTGTCACTGCCTGCTGTTCACTATTAATTTGAGATGCTACTGAGAACTAAAGAGAGTTTTTTGTAAGAGACAATTTTACATTCTGCAGACAATCCTGATAAAGAACACAACAAAATCAAAGCAGAAGAGGCAGTATGTGATACTGACACTTGTTCCCTGCTTTTACGAACTGATCAAAAATTAGTCTGGATCAGAAGGATCTGCCCATGTCATTACCACAGATCACTATTCACACTAACACACTCAAAACTTAAAGTGTAAAATCTGTGGAAAAACCTGCTATGCAAGAGTGGGAACACAGCCAGCGACCACTTTCGCCAACAGGAGAAGTTTTAATAGCGCTTTCTATAGCATATAAAGAGAGTATCAGAAAAAAAAAACCAGCCATCTTATCCAATGGCTTAGCTCTTATAATTATGTGAATAGTATACCTTGGTCTGACAACTTAGAGCTTAATGTCATGCAAGATGTACATCCTGACTGAAACCCAGAGTGACTATGCTACAGCTCCTAGGATTCATTTAAAAACAAAAACAAAAAACCAAACAAATCAAGTTGTGCCAGGCTGTTCCAGACCACAGTCTGGAACCCTCTGCAAAATGAGGATCGTGACCATGGTCAGAAACATGACCATAAAAGACAAACGTATTCCTCTTCAATTATAGTTCATCTACAATACGATCAGCCAGTAATCTACCTAATACTTGTAGATAAAATGAAGACATGTTTGTATATTCAAAATCAACCAAAGTATCTCAAAGCATTTGTTTGTACTGCAATACTGTATAGCCAAAATACCTGATTTGGAAATCATCTTCCTCACTAACATTGTAAAGAGTTAATTACCATGCATCTCTTCTGATTTGCATCTTTTTCATTAACACAATAAAGAAATGAATCAAATTGGAATCACTGAAGTAAAAATGAAGGTTTTCTTTGGAGAAACCAGAGAAGGCAGCAGATACAGCAGATTTTATCACATATGGCTTTGTGATTTAACTCAGAAGGCAGCTCAACACCATATAGCCATTCATTCATTCCTCCCCACTCTTTGTGGGAGAGAAAATAGGATAAAATAAATATCAAAGTAGAACTTGTAGGTTGAGATTAAGAAAAACATTTACTAAGACAGAAAGAGTTAAATAACATTAAGAATAACTTATATACATGTCACCTTCTTTATAATGGATAAAAGTTCAAATGCAGTTTAAAAATAATTCATCCAGAATATTTTAAAGGTACTTCTGCATTGCATTATTTGGCAAAATAAGCTAATACGGAGCTATGGGATACGTATTTTAGGTTCTTTAACTATAAGTTAGGAGAAATACATTACAGACTTTTCTCTGCAAGACAGTAAAACTATTTGAGAAGCACAGTATTATTACAAGTACTGATGTTATTCCACAAGAAAAGACTGTTTCTAACAGACTCACATTTTAGTAGATTATTTTGAAATGGCAATATCAAAGTGTCGGGCTATCTGTCATTTATTCAGCAGTCCATCAGATTTCTCAGTTTTTCGTACATGCACAAGGGTACCACTAGATGTCAGCATTAACTTTCTTCAAAATAGAAACAAGCCGTTTGATTTCTATTCACAGGTAGGAACATATCCTCAGGGTAGACCGTGACATCCAAAGCTCCTTAAAAAAAAAAAAAAAAAAGGGTTTCTAGCCTTAAGGCTGAACTTGAAACTGCTTGAGCATTAAGGCTATCTACACTGCAAAGTATATTACAGCCCAAGAGACTGTAGTACATTCGGTGAAATTTCAGAAATTCCGTATTCATACTCCTAATAACTGAATGCGTAACATATGTAAAATGAATCATTTTATTCAGCTGTAGCTAGAGAAGTCAGTTCTGCAGCCTTGAAAATTCTGAGCTGTTTAGTGCCAGCAATATTACCATAGGCCTGCTGTTGCTGAGTTTACCAGATTTTATCTAAATAACATAAGGCGTAACATATGGACCTAACTGCATTTCAACAGCTTCACAAGAGTAATTCCTTAAAATTCAAACTTAATTCACTATGAAAGTAGCGAGATGCCTGACAAACATCCCTTTCTACTCTTAACATGCAAGTCTTAATCTCCCACAGGCCTGTCTACTAACTATTTATGATAACAGTTTTCCAGGAGACAACTCATTAAAATAATGCAAAAACGAATCTGTAAGCTCTTAAGGCTTTTTTTTTTTTTTTTTCATCTGACAAAGTAAGCATTTCTCTCCTCCTGATTCAGTTCTGTCTGTATCTTCATACATTGCTTACTAACATGAAGATAAATGCCTGTCACCTCTTCATCCTTCCTGAAGTGTTTTGCTCATTGATACAGAAGTAGGCAGAACTAGAAAGCAAATGGAAAAGCCCTACATGTTGGAAGACTATTTGAATCTAGACTTCTACATTGATTCTTAAAGCTTGTTCAGAACACTAAATTGGGAAATGTTGACTGAAATGTTGTAATTTGTTTTGAAATAAAATTAGCAGAACATTTTCAGACTTAGACTTAAGACAGATTTCTGTACTTAAAGACAAGGACTGTGGGAGCAGTGAAAAATCTGGGATTAATACTTATGTCCCAAACAATGTAGTAGGAGAGATTTGTGTTTAATTGTTGGGGATAAAAGCAAGTTGTTCATGGCAAACAGTATGCAAGTCAGAAAGTATTCAATCATTTGAGGTTCCCATATATTTTAAGCCTGAGAAGGCCATTTTACAAGACTTTTTTTCTTTATTGTTGCTAAGTTGCTAAAACTTATTTTTCATTTTTATAGAGGACTAGAGTATCTACAGATTATATACTGCATTATTTTTAGCTGTATTTGTGCATGCAATCAGGCATTGACAGTTCTACAATCTCATTATGGTTACAGTTCTTCCTATGAGGTTTTTTCCACCTGTATTAAAAAGGAACTGACAAGGAAATCTGTAGCCTTAATGTCTTCATAGAATTGCAGAGTCATAGAATGGCTAGGGTTGAAAAGGACCACAATAATCATCCATTTTCAATCCCCCTGCTATGTGCAGCGTCACCACACCAGAGCCACATCCAGCCTGTCCTTGAATGCCTTCAGGGATGGGGCATCCACAACCTCCTTGGGCAAAATGATTCTGTCCTTTACCACCCTCTGTGTGAAAAAATACGAAAAAAATCCTCCGAATAGCTAACCTAAACCTGCCGTCCTAGTTTAAAGCCATTTCCCCTTGTGCTATCCACTCTCATAAACAGTCATTCTGCCTCCTGTTTATATGTTCCTTTCAAATACTGGAAGGCCACAATGAGGTCTCACCGGAGCCTTCTCTTTTCCAAGCTGAACAAGCCCAGCTCCTTCAACCTTTCCTCACAGAAGAGGTGCTTCAGTCCTCTGATCATCTTAATGGCCCTTCTTTGGGTCCATTCCAAGAGCTCCATGTCCTTCCTGTACTGGGGGCCCCAGCACTACAGATGGGGCCTCACAAGAGCTGAGTTAGAAGAGAACAATCCCTCTCCCTTCTGGCCACCCCTTATTTAATGCAGCTCAGAACACAGTTGGCCTTCCGGACTGCAAGTGCAAACTGCTGGCTCATTCCCAGCTTCTTGTTCACCAGGACCCCCAAGTCCTCCACAGGGCTGCTCTCAAAGGGTTCTTCTCCCATTTTGTATAAATACCTGCAATTGTACTGGTCCAAGTGCAACAGCTTGCACTTAGCCTTACTGAGCCTCATTAGGTTCTCACAGGTCCACTTCCCCAGCCTGTTCAGGTTCCTCTGGATGGCTTCCTTTCCCTCCAGTGTATTGACTGCACCACTCAGCTTGGTATCATCTGCAAACTTGCTGAGGGTGCACTTGATGCCATCACATATGTCATCAGTAAAGATGCTGAAGAGAGCTGGTCCCAAGACCAACCTCTGAGGGAGACTACTTGAGACTCGCCTCCACTCTGACACACAACCATTGGTCACAGCCCTGCAGCTGTGTTCAGCCAAACAGTTTTTAATCCACCAAACAGTCCATCTTTCAAATCCATACCTTCCCAATTTAGAGAGAAAGATACGGTAAGAGACCATGAGCACATTATTGTATTACTATTTTCTCCATTCTCTTACTTCAGAGAGCTGTTAGTGACAGCTGAGTATTGTGTCATTGAAGTTTTATGTCCTTTAGCACCAGTATTATCAATGAATTCCTGTAGCATTTGACAACATGAAACTCTGGACACTACCACACTTTTAATGCTGATCATGATTTGAAATTTCAAGAAAACTTGCAAAAGAATGAGAAGGGAAGCTCCACTGTCCCTCTGTGCAAGAATGCCCCAGGGCGTGCAAAAGCACTGCACTTGTTTGCCTCAGAATGGCTGTATGTACAGAAGCACGTGAAAAACAAGCAAAAGCAAATGGTGCTTCTTCAAACTTTGCTGTTTAAACTCCTCATAATTTCTGTTACTAAGACCATTGTGGAGTACAAAGTATTTATTCTTCCTAACAGCAAAAACAAAGAATAAATCCTTCAAATTGCAAATGAAATTCTATCAAGAAGCAATATGAGCCACAGGCCAGTTCTGTAATGCATCCACTTTGTTGTAATTCTCTTTCATTCATTCTACAATCAAAAATGGGAGAAGCAATCTATTTAGACAAACTTCAAGAATAGAGGTTTCAAACCTCTTTTGTCTATTAAGTCACCTGGGTGATTTATGCCAGTATAAAAAATTAGCAAAAAAGCAAGAGTATTTGATGGAATGTACAGATTTAACATTAAATATGTGTAAAAGATTAGATTTTTTCAGTAGATATTTTTTACTGTAAGTTCACAAAAACTGCTCCAGAGCAGCGTGGATCAGCACATTTCACAAGTAACATCAACTGCAAGTGTTACATAAACATTATTTGGATTTCTAGAAAACCTGAGTTTTTTTTTTTTTTAAATTGACCTTATATCAGAAGTAAAACTTGGAGATAAAATGCTATTGTTAGGATGTTAATCCAATGAATTTATCAAGCAGATAAGCAAGTAAGCAATGGATCAGAGATGCCACAAACACAAGCTTTTTTTTTTTTGTATGTCTTATTTTTTACGTTTCTTAATTCTCTCATGCCTCCTGTTATAAAGAAACAGCAGTTTCTCCCCATCAGAAGCAATGCTCCTTGCAGTGCTGATAAGGTCGGTGAGGTCCATATGAAATTAACTGTTTGCTGAGTTAAGTGCTGGTCACAAACTTTGCAGCTGCTTGGATGGGCAATTTTAATTCACAGCATATTTTCTGAAGTTGCCAACTTAGGGAAATCAACTGAAAAGTTCCAGCCCCAATTCTACTGTATCTTCTACAGAAGTGAGACTATTACCCAGCTTTATCACTGTATATCAATATGATTATGCTTACTTATATCCCATGAACTAAAATATGTAAAGTGGGCACTACTTCCTAATTACAGCCACATTTCATTCTGGTCATGTAACATGAGTGAAGAAACATGAGATATCTGAGCTCCTAAACAGTTCAAGGAAATGATTGAAGGAATCACTAGTGCTGCTGCACAGAAAGATCTCCTTAATTGTTTGAATACAAAATATATCATGGCTCTTTAAAAATGCTTACAGCAGTCATTATAACATCGTTCTCTGCCAGATATCCTGTCCTTTTCACAGAAGTATTATGTAAACAGCTTTAAAATTTGAAAAAAGGGGAAAAAGGAGGTTAAAGGATATAAAAAAAACTAATTTGTTCTCTTAAGAAAATAAAACACTGTGTGCACAAATACATTCCTGTACAGTGCCTGGAAACACATCAAGGAAGAGTTCTCTAATAAAGTGATCATATTATTCATTACCATTTAAAAACTATTCCAGCATACCGATCCGTGGTATGTTCTCAGCCTGCTTTGCAGCAGTTCAGAAAAAGGTCCAAGGTTCATAGAGGAGGGCTTGTAAGCGGCTCACAAACAATGTGCTTGAAATTCCTTTCTTTTGTAGCAGGAGTGCAAAACTACAGTTGAATAATTAAGCTATTGAACTAGGATTTATGCCGAAAAGACTAATTTGTAAGCTGTGCCCAAAGTGTCTGGTTTTGAAGTGATTTGCATATTTCTTCCTCTGGTATTCTAGGAATGCTATGGGAAACTTGCTACCCCAGGTCTCAGCAATAGGTTTCTCATGCATACCTTTCCAAACTTGTCTTTGAAAACATGAAAGCAAAGAGTGTGACAAGCAGCTTTAGATTCACATAGCTTATGAATACAGGTATTCATGGAACAGGAAGTTAACTTGAAATCTCTTACAGCGTACAATAAGATGCTATTTATCTAGGTTACATTAAAATTAATCCTAATGATTTATGCAGAAGTATAGGGGTTTAATAAACATAAGCAACAAAATCCAGGCACAGAGATGTTTATTTGCCAAGATCAAAGGCAAACTTTGTATTTGTGAAATAAAAAGCAGTAGTGATGATAGTGAGCAGAATGCAGGGCAACCCAGGGCATTTCCCCTGCATGCATACATTTAGTACTCAAGTACATGCCCTGCTCTTCTAACCGGAAAGAATGCGATGCTTTCCATTCCCAATATATCCCTTTATTGCATAATAAATTCATTAACCATTGGAAGTCATTAAGCTATCAGCTTATATCACTCATCCATATGAAATCACTTTTAAATACTAA